CAGTATAATATAATATGATATAATATAACATCCTGGAAAACATAATATGACATGAAATAAAATATAATATACTATAACATGATATAAAAAGATACTATAAGATAAGATAAGATAACAAAGATAGTTTCACATAAGAGAATATAGAACAGTGTAGTATAAGAACGTATAGTATAACTTAAGATAGTAGGGTACAACATAGTATAATACAATATAACATACTCGTATAAGATAACATAATGAAAGATAATACAACGTAAAACAATATAAAATACGATAGTGTAGTATGAAATCAGAAAGTATAACATAAGGTAATATAGTATAATATAAAATAACAACAATATAATATGATATGATATCATTTATATCCATTTTTATCATACGTAGCCCTGAACATATATATATATATATATATGTATATGTATATATATATATATATGTTATAATGCTATATACCTATGTATATATATATATACATATACACACACACACACATAGTTGCCCGACGTCAACAAAACTGGGATCCCGACCTGCAGTGGCCAAAAGGTTGCCAAAGCGCGGATGCGCCCAGGAAACCTGATCACATGAGGGCTTTACCCATAGGCCCCATAGTAGTTCCTTCTTGGGATTACCTTATAGGATTCCAAATATGAACCCCAAAAAGGAACTACCTTAGGGCCTATGGGTAGATAATGGAGCTGGCAGCAACTCTAGGAGGGGAGGGAGGGCATCAAGCATTCAGGAGTTGGGGACCTCTTTTTGGAGGGGAGGGAGGGCATTAATGCGCTTTAGCTTATGAAGTTGGGGGACCTCTTTTCGGAGAGATTCGGAGCGGAGGGAGGGCATTCAGCATCCTCCAGTCTTGCAAGACTGATCCCCGCACCTAAACCCTGACCCCCTTAAGCCCGAAACCCTATGAATGCTAGGGTTTAGGTTTAGGGTTTAGGGTTTAGGGTTTAGGGTTGCGAACTCCTAAAACCTACGCCATGAACCCTGACTTAGACCTGAGAGCCGTAAGCCTCTGTGACCCAAGCCCCTCACCCCTAACCCCCCAAACTCTGAAGTCCAAACACCACCTGCCTTTATGACGGCAAACCCACGTAGGCTTAAGGCTTCATTTAAGGTTTGGGACAGTGCTCTAAAGCGTAGAATCCTGACCCCTTTCGGGATCTTTCGGGTGGTTGAAGTTTAGGGTTTAGGGTTTAGGGGGTTTAGGGTTTAGGTTGTGGAGTTTAGGGTAGTTTAGGGGTTACTTTCGGTTGAGGATGGAGAGGCTGCCTGGAGCTTCGGGAGTGGGTTTAGGGTTGAGGGTAACCCAGCTATAAGTCTCTCAAGTCAGCCGCCCCGGTTATCTCCAAGACAAAAACCGGTCGAATAAGGCTTGGAGGTATACGATACTATACTTGTAAGCCCTAAACCCTAAACCCTAAACCCTAAACTTGTAAGCCTTAAACCCTAAATCCTAAACCCAAGGAGCTGCTCAGGCTTACATACAAACATCTGCAGTGGCGGGGTTGGAGGGGCGAAGATCCCTTCGGAGCCCGATGCGCCCCTCACTTCAGGCCTCTACCCTCGTAGCATGAACTGCAGCCCTAAACTCTTAAACTCCCTATAAACTCTATAAACTCCCTAGAGCCCTAAACTCCAAACCCCTGAATCCCTAACCTCCCTACACCCCTAAACTCCCTAGAGCCCTCATGATTAACTCTATAAACTCCCTAGAACCCTTATGATTATGATCTAATGCGTATTCCTTCAGCCAGGGCTCTGGGGTGAGGGTCTGAAGCGTGGGTCATAGACTTGTGAGGTCGATTCGTGTCCTGAACCCTCAACTTGGGTTTATAGGGTGTAGGGTTAAGTGTAATGTAGGGGCCTAAATAATTACCAGTACTATTTTTGGGCCTTTCCTTGCGATAACTATAGTATCATGGGCCCCAGAACCCTATTATAATTATAATGATTACGGCCCCTAAACCCTAAACCCTTATAGTAGCCCTGACAGAACCCTTTCAGGCACCCTGTAAAGGTATCCCCAAACCCTATTCCCCGACCGCTATCTTATGGTTTAGGGTTCAGGGTTTATAAGGCACCACCAGGCTTGGGTTGATGGTGTTCAGATTTGAGGAGCAAGGTTTTAGGCGGACACCCGAAACACAAAAACTACGGTTGATGATATCAATCCTGCATTATCCACAAGAAGGAATTTACCATAATTCGCAACTTGGGACCTTAAGTTAATGCAGGATTTGTACCATCAACAGTATGAGTCCGTAGAGTGGAAGTCTAGAGCTTAATCCTACGCCGCAAGCCCGCAGAGGTACGCTGAGGCAGATCAGCCTCTTTTTGTCAGATGCCAAGAAGTGCGCTCCGTGTGATGACAGCAAACTTCTTGTCTAGAGAAGGGCTCGTGCTGGCTCCGAAAAAGATAGACCCTAAACCCAAACTGTCTTTCGACTTAAGCGAGTCGGCGGTTGGGAATTCCGGGGTTCAGGGTTTAGCGGGATTTAGGGCTTAAGGTTTAGAGGGCTTAATGTGCTTCTTGGGTCTTGGATGTTTGTTGCTTTAGGGGTTTACGGTTCAAGATGTCGCCATGTTCGCAAACATTGACCTCTCAAGTTTCGTCGAAAACTGAAACCCCACAGCTACTGCCTCTGCGGTGCTGAATTCCATAGTAACCCTTGTAGCAACTCTTAACCCTATACCCTAAACCCTACAAGCCCTAAACCCTAAACCCCTAAACCCTATAAGCCCTAAACCCTAAACCCTATAAGCCCTAAACCCAAAGGGGACCGATATCGACCTTTAGAGCCCTTCGAATTCCTCGGTAGGCCGCAGCTCCTGGACCATGAAACCCTGAAAAGAAACAACTGCTCAATTCAGATTAAATAAGGGTTTAAGGTTTAAGGTTTAGGATCTAAAATTTAATGTTTAAGGTTTAGGGTTTATAAGGTTTAGGGAAGTTTAGGGTTTAGGATTTAAGCTTTAGGGTAGATCCCTCCGTTTCGGTACTCCTTTCAGCAGGCCTATCGGGTATGATCTAAGGCATGTGTTCCCGTAACCCCAAAACCTCAGCCCCTTAGTCAAGAACCGCAATAATCCAGGGGCCTTAACAATCAGAATAAGGCTTTGGGGCATATTCTATAGTAATAATTATAATAATGAACCCCCCAAAATTATAGTATAGGTAAATAATGAGCCCCCAGAAGTATCGTATAGGTAGGAATTTAGGCTCCTATATGGGAGTTTCAGAAAACAGGGGACCCTAGTATAGGACCCTAAACAGTAGGATCCTTATTATAAAGACCCCAAAATAAGGTACCCTAATTTTCGGAAACTCCCATATTACCCCAAACTCTGCATGATCCAGGAATGGCCTGACTTCAAGCTATCGACAATGTCGGCTTCGGAACACCCCCAGCCGCTTTCGGAGGGGGTTGTGGCTTGATTCTGGGTTTAGGGTTGCGACAAGATTTGGTGTGTGGGGGGTTTCGGGGTTCAACGTATAGAAATAGAAAGCAGTATCTAAACCTGCACCGTTGAGTTCGAGCCATTTTGTGTGGACTTTTGGGGTTCCGAGCCGGGGGAGACAGGGGATGGACCATGGTTTACAGCTTACGCTATACCTGGACCCTGAGAAACCTACCCGTATTGGGTTCCTGAATATAGCTTCCGAGTGAAGGACATGGAACCTTTCTAGCCCCAAGGACTTTAGTATAGAAAGCCTGCACAGAGAGCTGGAAGTTGACATGATGTGGTTGGTTGCACAAGGCTTGTTGACTCGTTGACTAGTTGTGTGGTGCGAGGGTTTGTTGGGAACGTAAGTGGATCATGGTCTGTGAACATCCAGCAATCGCAACCTTGCATGGTCCTGCACAGGGCTCTCGTAAGCTAGTGACAGCTAGTGCAGTACCCTAAACCCTAAACCCTAAACCCTAAACCCTCAACCCTGGAGCAAATGCCCAAGCTGCGCACGCTCGGAGAGAGCAATGATTGAATCGAGAAGTGGCAGGATGCGACCGATTACCCATGTACCCAAATAGATATACTTTGGCCTTAAGGTAGTCCCTATATAGGTACTTTGGGGCCAATGTATATCCTATATGAGTACATGGACCCTTAGGGTAAACTACAAACGTGGCCTGACGTCAACCCTCGAAACGTGAAGCAGGGAACCTGAAATTTGGAGAAGCATCAGGCTGGTGGTGTTGCATGACTTTAAGTGACACCAAAAAACAGTGTAAGTATATATGTTGATGGTCCCAGGAATGAGCTCGCATATCCTAGACCTGGTTTTATGGTTTGGGCTTCGGGATGGGTTTACAGCATGAAGAGTTCAGAGTTACGGGGTTAGGGCTTGTGTTCGCCAACCTTCGAGTGAAATCTTATAACACATGTCGAGACCCCAATGGGAAATTAACTTACCTGATACAAAAGGCCTTTAACCTGAACTGAACAAAAAAAACCTGTAAACCTTGAACGCCAGACCGCAAGCCCTTGATGTAGGGGCCTGAAAAAACTCGAACAGGGTTTTGGAGCATATTGTAGTATAAGTATATATGGAACCAACCCTAAACCCTAAACCCTAAACCCTAAACCCCCCCAAATAGTATAGGTGATTATTTAGGCCCCTACATTAACCTACAAGTACCCAGAGTAGCCGCGCTGCTGTTAATGATCAAGTTGGGTTTAGGGTTTAGGGTTTAGGGTTTAGGGTTAAGGGTTTAGGGTTTAGGGCTTAGGGTTTAGGGCTTAGGGTTTAAAACACACGAGTTTACATACTAGTATAGAAGCCTCAGTAAATACAAATCTTAATGTTTTGGTTCCTTATTATACTTCTACTTTGTAGGAGCCTCAAGCCCTATTCTAATTATTAAGGCCCTACACAGGCCTGAAGCCTAAGCTTTACATGTGGGCTTGGATCGGGATGCAGCTGTAAGGATTCAAACAACAAGTTTAGGGCTTTGGGTTTGGAGTTTAGGCCTCCATGCTTGGATGTTCCGGCATCAGCCACTTCCCGGCTCCTGAGACGTGACAGAAGACCGCCACGTCTGATGGCCCTTCGGAAAAGGACGCTGCGCAGCGAGCTTTTGCAAATACCTCGGCTAGCTTCAGTCGGGCTCAGATTTAGGGTGTAGGGATAGTTAAGGTTCATGAGTTCTCGTCTAACAGTCTGGTTAGACATCGGACATGTGCGCATAAGAAACTCCGCGCTTTTTGGTGGATAGCTCCTCTCCTCCTGCAATGGTCTCCGGTCAAGGGGGAAGGACTCTCAGAATGATCTTTCTCGACCCTGAAAAGGGAGAGCATCGAGTAAGTGAGCACTCGAAAAATATCCCCAAGGAAGAAAACACACGAACCCTGGCAAGTCGCGTGGAAAGCCTGGAGAGCTCTTGATCTGTGGCATGGTCCGTCCAGTAGTAACCTGAGCCAGCTCAGAAATATCTAGCGTTTCGAAAGGAATCCTAAATCCTCAACCCTAAACCCTTACCCTTTAACCCTGAACCCAGGAAGGTCCGTGGGACATTAGATGCTTTGCCAAGTGGCGACTGCATTGTATTGAATGATGAGGATTCGCTCGGCACACATCCACCGTGTCGTCAACGATCACTGTGTTGCCCTCATTGTACAGCCTCTGCTGGAGGGTCCAAGTCTTCAGTCCGCCAAACTCAGGTTTCGAAGTATTCTGTTCAACGGAAACCGAAATCAGCTGTTTGAATCCGGTCCTAAAGCTCCAAAAGCCCTGCCAAAGGGAAGGCAGAACAACCCTAGCCCGCAGGCCACCGGTTTGACGTGCGTGCTTCAAGAACAAAGCCCAGGCTTATCTAGGGGTTCGGCACTTAGCAATCAAGCTCTACCAAAAACTTCCCAGCTTCACGGCTTCAGTTTCCTAAACTCTAAACCCTAAACCCTAAACCCTAAATCCTAAACCCTAAACCGAAAGCCGTGTTTAGTTGAGGGTCCGATTCGGCCCTCAGCCTTCACCCTGACACCTACCTTGGGGACCAAATGACCCTTATAAGTAGGGGCCCTATACCCTTATACTATGAATCCCTATATGGTATATGAACCTGATGCCCTTTTGAGGTTTATTTCGTCCTTAAGGTATACGCTGTGAAGCCCTGTAGCCGTAACCACTCGAGACACAGCCAGAGAGCCCAATACCCCTTACTTCAGGAATATACCTCAAATCATAATATTAAGGCACCTATAATTTAAGGTATATTCCCTAATGAAAGGGCATTGGGCCTAAACCCTAAACCCTAAACCCCTAAACCCTAAACCGCATTGGGCCTAAACCCTAAACCCAGACACACAAAAGATGGAAAAGAGCCAGCGCCTTTCCACATCCAAGCCACGGGCCAAACTCGGCGCAGGCCCATATCAAAGATCTCGGCTGCACAGCAGTTCGGGTTTAGGGTTTAGGGTTTAGGGGTTTAGGGTTTAGGGTTTAGGGTTTGGCGTTTAGGGTTTAGCTTAGGGCGTCGCGTGCTGCTGAGGGCCATCATGTCAACTCCGACGTCCAAAAACAGATTGGCATTTGAATACATATCATATTATATAATCATCCATATCTGTACCTATATTTATATATACACACTAACAATCAATACACCGGCATATCTGCCCCAAGCTGTCGCATGAGTGACTATTGGAAGCCAAGGTGAATAATGTGCCGGTGGGAATATTTAAAATAAGTGTCTCGCTACGACCCAAATATCAGCGTTCTAGGTATTACGGTCCTAAGCCCTAATCCCTAAACCCTGTTCTAGTTATGAAGGCCCTAAAGCCTAAATCCTATTCTAGCTATCAAGGCACTTGGCCCTAAACCCTAGCCCTAAACCCTAAACCCTAAACCCTAAACCCTAAACCCTAAACCCTAAACCCTAAACCCTAAACCCTAAACCAAAATTATTAAGGCCCTTATGTTACCATCTTGATTCCCAGCCCGCTTAGGCGCCTCACCTTCCCTCAGAAATCTTGCATGCAAACCCTATAGCCGGTCCAAGTAATAGTATATACCTTTGGGGCCCAAATACCTACTAAGTACCCAATATAATGGTACTTGGACCCTTTGGGTACACGTTTAGGGATTTTGGGTTTGGGGTGGTTTAGGGGTTTAAGGTTAATTAAGGGGCTTAGGGTCTAGGGTTATACCCTAAACCCTGTCTTCTCACTTGCGTGCACGAATCTGGGGAGGTCAGGAAACCCAGACACGGGGGCCACGATACAATCAGGGTCTTGGTGAGTAAAGGGCCACAAATATAATAAGGATCCGTAAAATGTAGTATAGTGGCTGTTCAGGCCTCTATAGCAAGACCTTGAACCTAACCTGCAATCTAGTTACTAACCTACCCTAGGCTAGGGCTCCAGCTACCTACACTGTATGTTGCTAACCATCTATTATGTACAGCAATAGCCCGTGATTGCGGCAACTGGAGCCCTAAGGAGCCTATAGCCCAACATCCAGACCTTCCAATATCCCTTTATTGAGGGATCTACCTTAAATATATATATATATATATATATATACATACATATATATATATATATATTGTGGATCCAACTATAAGTTGAGGTATATTCCTTAATCTTCGGGAGCTTGCAAGTTCTGGGCACTTCTACCTTTCGAGTACCACTGCTGCTTTTGGACAAGGCGCAATGGCTTGACGCCTGAGCACTGGGTCGTGTAGGGTTTAGGGTTTAGGG